TTGTTGAGCTAATCGAAGATAGAGAGAGTAGCGGAAGATGAAGATGATTGATGATTGATGATAAGATTCTTGATTTGTGAAGAATCACGAAGATAAAGAAAACGGAAGGAAAAGAAGATGAAATCGATGTTTGTCAATGAAGAATCGAAACTCAGATGTGGAGAATCGAAGATTAACGAAGAAAGAAAGCTCGAATTGCCATGGAAATCGACGGATGTCGCCGGAAAAAAAAATCAAATTTTCCGGGAAAATCGGAGATGAAATGAGAGAAAGTTAGTTAGAGACACTTTGCTCTGATACCATATTAACTTTCATAATCTGAATGTTAATTCTCATTAATGAATCATAGTAGCTACATTGAGTATTTATATGTACATGTGTATATGGAATTAAACTAAGCTAAAGGAGACTTAGTAAAACTCTATATACTTAGATATGCTAATATTTTAGGATTTCAATTCCGTATCCCAAACTGATTCATTTATATTCATTAATTAAAACGTTGGATTCTCCATTTGTATATGGCTCTCTTCGTATATCTTTACGTGTTTGGTACTGAGTATATGATCATGTTGTTCTCTTACGTGTTTTTTGTCACATGAAAACCTCATCAAAATGTAATTAAGTATCTGTTAGGTTGTAATTAGACGTCAATATTGCTATAATCTTTTGTGGGAAACATATGCCAGATAAATTTGGCATGCTTTTTTTTTTTTTTGGCAGAGCATACTTGTAATCAAATCCATACTCGATCGATATCCTTGATCGTATGGAGTGAGTGGGATATGATAAGATGGAATTAGCATCACTTGGATTGCAATGAAAGTTCGTCTCTCCACAATTCCTCATTTGACGAAATTATGGTCAAAGCGTTTTTTTTTCCATATTGTATATCTTCTATAATTACTAGTTAGCTTCTATAATTACTGGTATACAACACGGCCATGACATTTTTTGTCTTTTTTGTCGGACTCAAAATTGGTTGCCACATTGACTGTTAGTTTTTGAGTTAAAAAACATTTACTGCAACAAAATATTATTCTTACTTCGTATAATATGAGAATATCTTAGTATAGGATGTCTCATTCGTTCTTAATCTTATTATAGCTCTCTAAGAAAGTTTTTTTTTTTTCTTTCTCATGTGATTTATAATGAATGTTTCTTCTTTTTTAGCAACATGTTTGATCAAGTTTTAGCATTTGGTGACTTTTTTCAATCAATTTCCCTCTTTCAATCATTTGCGGAAAGTAAAAGTCAAACTCCAGTATTCGTGGATTTGCAATTTTGCATTGATGGCATCGTCACTTGTCCTAGAAAATTCAAACACATTTATTTCGTTTTAAAATACTCTCTCCGTTTCGTTTTAGTTGTCGTTTAAGGTTTTTTCACACAAATTAAGAAAAACATTAAATTTTCTGTTTTACTCTTTATTAATATATTTTATAAAAGATTCATTGGCCGAAACATTAAAACAGTAAGGATAAAACTAGAATTTTCACAAAACATTTACATCGAAAACCTAAAACGACAACTATTATGAAACAAAATTTTAACTCTAGAACGACAAATAAAACGAAACGGAGGGAGCATAAAATATTTTGACTAAATACGCGGAAATTAAAAAATATTTACTTTTAAGTTCAATAATTGATGAAAAATTGTATAATATAAATAATTATAAAATATTAAATTATTTTAAAATTTACATAAAAATTTGAAAATATATTATAATATAAATAAAAATGTTTTTTGAAATATTTTATATTATAAAAAGGAGGAAGTATTTTATACTGTATATGTTTTAACTGAATTTTCCTGATATTTTTTTATTTTTTGTTTCGAATATATTTTGTCAACGTTTTCTAATATTTAACTTGATTTGATGTTGAAGACATAATGTAAAAATATATGATGACAACAAACTATATAAATAAATGAGATGTGATGATTCGACCACCTGTCATTATATTTGGGGAACAGATTCACGAGATTTTGATCAATAATTCTTTTTTACCGATCTGTTTATTTAAAAATTATGGCGTTATCTTAGCATGTAAATTGTAATCTCACCTTTTGTGGTTACATGCTTATATAAAAAAAGAAAACATGTAGGAGGACTCGTGTCTGGATATGATGTGCAAAGACAAAAGTGAGACTGCTCGCTTCATTACTCACACTTCACATATTCATCTTTACATGATAAATGATATTATTAGTTCTTTACTAAAATAAAAGAAGAGTTTTATAATGAGTAATCATGCAATTAGCTGCCTGAAACTTTTTCAGTTAACTTTTATTGATAACTTTTTTTAAGTAAATAAATTAAAGATGATCAAGTAGGTCGACACTTGCTATGAATTGCGTTTTTTAAATGTTTTAATAGAAAAAAAAATTATTTCCGTTTAAATTACATAAGTAATATAAAATTAAACTAGCATATTACACAATTAATGTAAATAATGGGTACAATCAAATTTAACAACGATATTGAGCTAATAGTGGGGGTGATTGGTAAAGACTTTGGAGGTTTTAAAATTTTTGAAAAGTCTTTAAAGTCATTATTTTTCCAATCACACTTTATTTGCTTTAGTTAATTTAAAAATCTCTACATTCATTTTCTTTTATTTTACTCTTTAGTTTTAGTTTTTTTCTAAAGTCAGGTATTCCTGGCTTTCAAAATAAAAATAATATAGGCATATAGTTAATTTTATTTTCTCTTCCCCATGAATATAAAAACTCTCATAAAATTTTCTAAATAACTAATTTTAAAAAAATTCGAGTTGATCTACAATGGATTATTTTTTCTTGTTTTATTAAAATCCATTTCTCCATATTTTTGATAGTTATATAAAATCATAATTTCTACAGTCACATGTTTTACGGTTATAAAAATTTTTTCAGTCAAATAAAATACAATGAATTTGAAGTCAAATTCCTAATAGCAAAAATCTCTACAGCCAAAGTCTTTACAGCGAAAGTCTTTAAAGCCAAAAGTAACAATCGTTACCAATCGGCCCCAGTATCTCATACTACAGTAGAACCTCTATAAATTAATACTCGATAAATTAATAAACACGATAAATTAATAAATTTGGCCGGTCCCGAGTCGGCCTAGTGAAAAAATTAACCAAATTCGATAAGATAATAAGATAATAAGTTTTTTGAAATCCTTATGTAAAAATATAGTCCCAATAATATCATAAATTAATAATAATGTAAATTTGCACATATATATATATATATATATATAATAGTTTTAGTGTTTTTTCATAAAAATAGCTAAAAGTTTTTGTAAGTTTTCAAATTTTGAATATGCATAATTTTTGTTTTAATAGTCATATATGTTTTTAGAATACAACAATGGATGTCACTATTTGTGAATTTTAATTTGTGTATATCGTTTGTATATATGAATTCTATAATCGTTGTTATTCATTTTCAAAAGAAATTATTTTTCTTCGAAATATTAAGTGTTTAAGGCTAAAACTATAAAATTTATAGCATCCAAAACATTAATCTTATTTAAATCACATTGCTTTAGCTCGTATTTGTTTTAAAAAAAATCACAATTAAAACAAAATTTTCTATATAAATTAATAAATATTAATTTATAGATAAATTAATATCACTATAAATTAATAAAATATCATAGTCCCAACATTATTAATTTATAGAGGTTTTATTGTATTACTATATTTTTTTCAAAACTTTTTTCAGTTTTAACCAACAAAAAAGTAATATGATATAATTTATCCGTGTTGTAGTTATAACAATTAATGAACTAATATATTATCTTATGGTGCGATCGTATAATTAAATATGACCTAATCGGACAGTTACATTTTATCCAATTTTGTGGATGAAATTTGATTTTACATCTTTAATATAACAATCAAACAGATAAAAAAATGATGCCTAATTCATTATATTTAAATAAACGTCACTTCTTGATACTATTTTTTACTGCCGTCCCAAATAATTTACATTCAAAGGTATTTTTTAAGTCGACTTTGTCAAAAATTTAATAATTTTTTATTTTTGTTGTAATATAATATAATCGGTTTTACCAATTTAAATATATTTTTAACAAAAACATCTAGTTTAAGTATACGCTTTTCGTACTCTTCTTTGGCAATAGTTCTTTGGCTAGGAGGCAATTAATTATGGAATTAATCATATAACCAAGATATTAACCAGCCATGAATCTTCACATTTAAAACCATAGATTTCAAGACTCGGGAAATCATCAATTCCATAAATGCAAGAAGGCATAGTAGAAAGTTCCGTAAGCTAATGAGTCTTTGGCTCATTTGAAAATCTATCCATGGAGAAATGTTTACTTCCTTGTTTTTTATTTTCTTTTTGCCTAAGAACTAATTGTATAGGTAATCAATACGTAAAACCTAACTCATTTTATTTTATATGATATTTATTCATCTAACAAAAAAGGATATTCAACCAGCCATGCAATAATTAATTCCATCGATATTTTGTTAGTAGTATATATCGTCCTCTTATAAAAAATCTCCACAAGTAGAGATTTATTTCTCGTAAGTTTTTTTAAAAACTATTTTTTTTTTTTGTGATAGTGTGGAAAAGTGCAAAATAAAAAAATCATTTTTTTTGTTGATAAACATCTATATATACATTTTTGGATGACTTTTAGCAAATAAATCCTGGGGTTGGGAAGTATTTACAAATAATGCCATTGGTTGGGTGGGTTTTTTTTTTAAACGATTGACCCGGATATTAAGCATCGGATCTCTTCTGTTTCTTCCCAAAAACTACATTAATTTAAATTTTCGAATTAAATATTTGACCATTTAACAATCTTTCCAAAATCTCTCCATATAACTTACACGATTAGTTACTAAAATAAAACCTCCGAGATATTTGCTAGCATTTAATCACTACCAAATTAACAATTTCCATTTTCCTATTTTGCATTTCCTATTTTAAAGATTCGTCTCAAAATATTAACTCCACGATTTGGAAACAAATTTCAAATCTGATGCTCAACTATTTGCCATAAAAATCTCCACAAAATATTGAATCCATTTTCTCGACAATCTCTCGACAACAGAAACTATATGATTGTATTAAAAACGGATTTGGTGAATATTCCTGAAAAATCCGATTCAAAAGATTTGATTCTAATTCAGTTTAGGTTGCAAATAAATTTTACTTGGTCACCAATAGATTATTGACTTAATCGGAACTCGTCTATAAATACTCTCTAGCTTTACCTCTCATCACATTATCAAACACACAAAGCTCATCACATCTCTTTGGATTCAGAGACAGGAAAAGAAAGAGATGATTCCGGTTGAGAGGGTTACATGAAGTCCTCAGAACAGCAGAGGAGACGAAGTGGTTTGTCAGATAAGCTTGAAATGGCTTCAAAAACTGAACTTTAAGTTTCAAAATTTCTGGAAATTCAAAAAATCCTAATCTCTAATTGTCATAATGAGGAGACAATAGAGAGAGAGAGAGGGATTAGATGTACCTAAGATCACAGAAGATTGGCGACAGAGGAATCGCTGAGGGGTCGAGTAGTTTAATCGGAAATCGTAACCGACACTATCAAGAGAGAAAAGTGAAAGTAGGAAACAACGGTTTATATGGTGAGCCTTGAGAGCATCGTCGACCAATAAAGATGGACGACGTCATGGGAATCGCCGGAAAAAAAGAAAGAGATTAGCTTCGAGGACGAAGCAATGGCGATTTTGGTTTCGACGGAGAAAGAGAAAGCCACAGAGGATTCGTAGGCATCGGGTTCAGAAGCTTAGCCTGCCCGAGAATTCGCTGACGAACGTGGTGTTGGCCGGAGTTACCGTTGTCAGAATCATGGTCAGTTTTGCATTGAAGAAATCGAAGAAGATGCTTCGTTATCATCGTTGGGGAAGAAGCAAAGTAAAAGAGGAAAAAAAGTTTTGTTGGGTTGGGCCTGTTAAAGAGAATAAACAAGTAGACTGAGCCCAAGGTAGAGTTTATGAGATAATGGCCTAGTCTTCTTTTTCTGGCCCAAATACAATAGTCTTCTTCTGATGGTGAAGTTGAACCAAGTAATGTTTTGGGCCAAGTAATATCACAAGCGATGCCAGCACAAGAAAGACGTGAGAGATACAGAGAGAAGTTGAAACATGTTGTGATCATACTATGGGCTCATTATAAAAGAAAATAAATTAAAGATAAAAAGTATGAGTTTGTTTAAGGCAAATCATCATTTCTATATTTGACATTACTTAGGGTAAAAAAAAATTACTTCCACAATTATATATATTGTAACCAAAGTTTTCAGATTTTATATTTAAAAATCAGAAGAACATAACAGTGGATATTTTATTTACGCCACAAGATTAAGCTATGCAATTTTTGGTGTTGGATAGTGAATTAATTAGTATATGTCTTTTAGTAATAAAAATAATTTGAAATCTAAGAGGTATAAAATTAAAAAATATCACTAACAATATACACATAACTAGACATAATACAAATAGTGTACTTATACATTCAACAAACTATAATATTCTTTACAAAAAATATTCCAGATATAATAAACGGTGACAACTTTAATATATATGATATAAACTCAATTTATATTTTATAATAGAAAACCATAAATATATTTATTTATTTTTTGACGGCAAAAACTATAAATATTAAAATAACATAATTTTAGAAAAAAAATTTGCTCCGTGGTGTACCGCGGGTTAAATCCTAGTGTTATGGATTTTTGAATCACAATTGGTCCGAAACCAGTTTTTGCTATTATTATATGTTGAACACAAATCATAAGTGACTGTCAATATAATTAAGTTGATTTGAGTTTCTGTACGTCGAATATTTTTTTTTATATATATGTTATATACATATAATAAATATTTCATAATTAAAGATTTAACGACCTACATACAAACTATATATATATATATACATATACTTTGCATGATGAAACAACATTTTTTCTTTAACAAAATAAAAAAAACATTTGTAACGTAACTTTTTTTTTTTTTTACTTCAATTTGTAACGTAACTTAAAGAGTGTTTAGTTGGTTCTTTGGAGTTTGGAGTAACTATTTTGTTTTGTACACTGTAAGACACGTGTACGACAGGTACTATTGTAGTTAAACTAAACGACAAATGAGGTCACAAAAAATTTAAGACTTGCGAGTTATTTTCTTTACACTAAAAATATTTAATTTAGCATGATTTTTCAGCCTCTAAAACTGGAAAGCCTTTGGAAAAAGATTTTTTTTTTCTGGATATATTTATGTACAAAAATAAAAAATTAGGACTTATTTTTTGCTTTTATCAATATAAAATTAAATAATCAAATTTAATACGTCTATAACGAATTTTCAGTTTCAAAACAGGAAAAATGAGCATCCGATTAATTTCATAGTGGTTCAAAGAATATATGTTCAATGACAAATGAATATATATATATATATATATATATATATATATATATTATATATATATATATATATATTAAATAAAACATATTATAATTCTTTTTAAATGGGTATAGGCATTTGCCTTACAAATCCCGATCCAGTTTAAAAAAAAAAAAACAAAAAAGAAGAAGATGATGGTATCGAAACAAATCGAATCCTATTGATGGCCGTCAGCGAGATTACTGGAGACTTAAATCCGGCAAACTCAAGATATCTACCTTCTCAGTTACGTCAGAAGATTGAAAACCACAGCCAGAAGAGTCTGGTTTCCGACTGCAATCTCTTTCCGCCGATACCCCAGATCCGCTAGATACCTTCCGGAAAGCTAGTCACCTCGACAGGCAGTTCCACGGAGTCGGGTCTATCCCCTTCCTTTCCACTCCAGATCTCTCTGATTTGACCATGCGTGAAGACTTCTACTGGACCAGTGGACACCATACGTGGCGGATCCAGAGGTTGGAGACTCTCCCAGAGCTTTTGAAGACGAACTCTACGTCAGCCAAGCAGATCCGGAGGAACTACCGATAACCACTGCATCAAACAGCGAAACCCACCAAAACGCCACCAAATTCCGCCATATTCGCCGCAAAAGAAGGACTACTGAGCTTTGAAAATCTTCGAAGCACACCACGGGGTCCTCAACCGGGAACCACGGCTTCGAATATCCTCTTCCGTCAAACTAGAGCCGTGACTAGATCGGTGACGAAAAACCTCACCTCCGCTGAAGCGAAGAAACCCTGAACACTTCAGGATCACAAACAAGAATACTCCAACATGCGATGACGATCAAACATATACGGATCGGAAGATTAGGGAATCACTTTCAAGGAAGAGATAAATGCGAGATTCGATGCAACGATTGTGCTTTTAACTAGTATATATATATATTTTTAAAAAAATATTAATTTGTGTATATATATATATATATATATTCTAAAATCTGAGTATATATATATATATATATATATATATATATATAGATAGGGTAATGATGTATTTATAAGTCCACATATATACATCCATATAAAGTCAAACATCTATAAATTACTAATAATGTTGGGACCATGATATTTTATTAATTTATAGTGATATTATTTTATCTATAAATTAGTATGTATTAATTTATAATGTAAATTAATATTTATTAATTTATAGATAGTTTTCTTTTAACTACTGATTTTTTTAAAAAAATACGAGTTAAAAAAATTTGATCAAAATAAAATTAATGCTTTGGATGTTACAATTGTTGTAGTTTTAGACTTTAACATTTAATATTAGAAGTAAAATAATTTTGGACAATAAATAACAAAGATTAAAGATGAATTCACATATATAATTGATATACATAAATTCAAATTTACAAAAAATAGCCTCAATTATTATATTTAAATAGCCTATACGTCTATTGAAAAGAAAATTTTGCATATATTTATAGGCAACACAACTATAAGATAGTTCAAAAACACAACATAATATTTTCTTATATTAGAAAAGTTAGTGATGAGATCTAACATAAATTCACTTTATAAAATGATAAAATTATATTATGTTTGTGTATATATATATATATATATATATGTATAAATTTACATGATTATTAATTTATGATATTATTGGGAACATAGTTTTACATAGAGATTTCTAAAATAATTATTATCTTATTATCTTATCGAATTTAGTTATTTTTTACATTGATCCGACTTGGGACCGGCCAAATTTATTATTTTATCGTGTTTATCAATTTATCGAGTATTAATTTATAGAGGTTTTACTGTCTATGGAAATTCACATTCTAAAAGCATACGTATATATGCATATGTATATGTTTACTGTTTACATGCATGCAGGCCCAACTCTAAGGGTGTGCCAGCAGTGCCAAAGCAGAGGGTCCTTTTTTTTTTTTAATTTTTAGGGTCCAAATTTTTTTTTTTCTTGAAAAAGCTGCAGAAAAAATGTTAAAAAGTCCTGCAAATATTATGTTTAGAAGAAGAAGACAGTAAACATTGCCAAGTGAGCTGATTTTTTTTGGGTTAAAAGGCATATTTTTTTCTGTAGAACAGGGTCCAATAAAATATTGAGCCGGGCCTGCATGCATGTGTGAATGTAATATACTAGATCATCACCCGTACTACAGTACGAGTTAAATTTTATTTATTACAAAATTTATATATTATATATTTTAGAATGAAGTTCGAAATATATTATAATAGTTATTGAAAAAATATAATTAGATTTTAGTCAGTCCCTATATATAATATTCGAATGAATATATTTTCTTTTTTTAATTATACTCAATTATGGATATACGTTTTTAAAATATGAAAACGGAAAATAAAATTATTTTAATAAATTAATATGGTCTGAACAATGAGTTAATTTATATTAACAACCACAAAATAAGATTGCATATAATTCAGTTAGATCAAAAATCAAAATATTATAAATGAATTGCTTCTAAAACGTACATTATTTTTAATTAATTAAAAAAGTTAGCAATTATTTTGAATTAATATAGAAAATTCTTTTTTCAATTTCTAATTCTTTGGTTGTTGAAATAGAGATTTGTTTGAGATAACTACGGAATTTACCAATTATTCACGTAATCGAATATGTTATGAACATATATTTAGTATATAATATACCAAACCCAAACCGATCGCACCTCGTTTAGTTGTAAAATTTAAATCCGTTTATAAACCCAAACCGATATTTAACCTCGTTTAATCATAAAATCTAAACCCTAATCGTACTTTCTAAACCCAAACTGATATTTAACCTCGTTTAATTGTAAAATCTGAATCCGTTTATAAACTCAAACCGATATTTAACCTCGTTTAATCATAAAATCTAAACCCTGACTTTTTCTAATAAACTCAACCAAAACATAATTTCGTTTTAGTAGCAAAATAGATTTTATAATTAAATTAAATTCTTTTTATTATTATTAGGTGTCAGATTATATTGGCTGAAATAAAGAGGGTGAATATAATGGTTCACCTCTAGGGGTGAACCCAAGTATTTTTCTATAGGGAGATTGACAAAAATAGCACTAAATAAAGTTTTTCTTCCAAAAATAGCACTACATTTGAAAAGTTTCACAAATAGCACTATAAAATTTAAATAAATATTAAATATGAATAATTTGTTGAATTAAAATAAATAAATAAATAAAATTGGAAATTTCCCGCCAAAAAATTTTCGTAACGTAAATATATTTTCCCGCCAAAAAGTTTTTATCAAAATTTTCCCGCTAAATTTTTTTCAACATTTTCTAGTAAAAAAAAAATTCCGTCAAAATTTTTCCGCCAAAAAAATTTCACAAAATTCAGGAAGGATTTCACGAAATTCAGGAAGAATTCTTTGAATTTCAGGAAATGATTCCTAAAAGGATTACACGAAATTTAGGAAGGATTCAACAAAATTCAGGAAGGATTCCACGTAATTCAGGAAGGCTTTCATGAATTCATGAATTTTAGGAAAGATTCCACGTAATTCAGGAAGGGTTTCCCGATTCGTGAAATCCTTCCTAAATTACGTG